TGTGTGTGTGTGTGTGTGTGTGTGTGTGTGTGTGTGTGTGTGTGTGTGTGTGTGTGCGTGTGTGTGTGTGTGTGTGTCTGTGTGTTCTCCCTCCTTCGTGTGTTCTCATCCTCCTCCTCTCCTCGTCTCCTGCGCCTACTTCCCCACGTCGTCATTGCTCCATTGTACCTTCATCATTGTCATCGCGTTCCCTTCCCTCCTCTCCGCCATCAGAAAAAAAAGCTACGATCCCGTACGAGAGGATCATTGAGGGCGTACTCACACTAGCACTTTCGCCGATGCATGTGATCCCGTTTCCCACCTGGCCAGGATGCACCTAGCCGCTATGACGTCCACAGAGAAGTGAAAAAACTCCCACTGTAGTGTGAGTATGCCCTGAGAAGGGGTCGCAAAGGGAAGGAAAGGCAACCGGAGGAGGGGCGAGTGGAAAAAGGGACGAAGGAGAAAGAACGGACGCAAACGAGAACGCGGGCGGATGACGACGAGGGGGAGGGGGAGGTCAGCGAGAGAGCGGTGTGAGGAGGGAGGGGAGAGCATGCGGGGGAGGAGAGAAGGGAGGGATTACCTCAGCTACGCTGATCGCTGATTACCAGCAGCCGCGTGCCAGAAGCAAAGGTGCGAGAGCCACAGTGGATCGGCGAACAGAGTGACGGAGCAGATTGACTGGGCTGGGCGACAGGACGCGTATCAAATCTAGTAGCCACGCGACCGACTGGGCGAACCCATGGCCCCGACGCAACGGCTGGAGACTCGACGTCACCCGCAGGCAAGCAGCACAGGCCACAGCCAAAAGAAAGACAAACAAACGGCATCGCCACCCCACTCTCGAAATGTGCAAAATGTGAATGAACTTGACGCTAGAACACGGCCAGATGCGCCCGCCACATTTTTGTCCTCTGCACATTTCGAAAGCAGTGTGGCCGAGTCCCAAAGACGTCCTTCGGGACACTTTTCAGTTAAAATTGAAACGACACGCAGCGGATGACAAGTACAATAACTAGAGACAGTGATGTTTTTGGGTTTTTTTTTTCTATTTCTAACAAAGATGATCCTTTTTCATTCATAAGACAATTATTACAATCGAGGCCGGGGCCGAGGTCCCTTTTAGCAAAGAGGATCTCATCGAATGCCAGAATGTGGACGTGTTTTATGCAGAGATGCAGAAAAAAGCAGTTCAATCTCCATTTCCTGCACCTCTCGACAAACACGTCCAGAGATTCAGGCATCGATCCTATCCTCTTTGCTAGTGGGACCACGCCCCGGGGCAAGGTCCCACTTGCACGGATTAAGAGATTCTGGCCGTTGATCTTTGCTATCTACGGTCAATATAGCTTAATTTGTGTAAGTGGGACCTAGCCCCCGGGGACCTCACAATTCAACCCGGCGCTGCGTTCCCGGATTCGGCAGAGTCCAACCCACCACCCAGGAAGCTACCATAGCTCCCTGGCTCCTTGCACCATCGTCCCCATCGAGGGGTGGATATGGTGGAATGGTCCAACCACAGGCTGCAAGGACAGGTGGGGGACACCCTCCTCCTCTCGCGGGCTCAGAGAAGGTAAGATAGAGTGCACTGAATAGGGTGAAGGAAGGTAGAGATAACTTAGGGTTAGAAGAGGGAGTAAGAACAGCACAGCAGCGAGGAGTAGATGGAAGGTGAAGCAATGGAATGTGACGGGGTCCTACGACCAGGCACAGGGACGGAATTTTTTTTTTTCTCCATATAACTATTTTTCTACTGAGGGGGACCTAGACAGAGGGCGTGAAAACGTTTGTCACGCCTCGATGGGTTCCCCATTGATTTAGGTAAAAAAAAAAAAAAGGATACCGAACGGTATTTGATCCGATTTAAAGGTAAAGGAACGAGATATGAACCCGACCTGAATCTCGGGAGACATTCAGGGTAATAGGAAAGGTCTGTTGTAAGGCACGCATTCAGTACCCGACCTGAAGGGAGGAGTATTGGTCGGCGCGTTGTGCGCTCACACAAGGATGGGATATAACTAGGAGGGAGTGGACGCTCCTACTCAGACTGAGCAGTGTAGAGGTAGAAGGTCTGATGTGCGAGCGGTCACGTTGTCGCGGCAAATACCCTGTGCCAGGATTTTTCAACGTCGGATGTTGTCCGACTCTTTCGTTGAATTGAAGGACTTGATGAAACTGGCGTTTGTCAAAAGTTTATTCAAACGTGACCTATGAGCGAGAGACTAAGAAAAATTAAACCCTAGTTCGAACGTCAGCAACGTCCGAGAGTAATGGATGTACTTGGCAGTGCTTCGTTTCTGTCAAGGCTGTAGAGGCGTGCGGATGTGGGAATGCTACGGCTTGACCTATCATACCTAAAATAATGTCAAGCCGCGCGATTCAGGGTTTACATAGGCTAAGAAGAATGATCGCGCCAGGCGTGGGGAATATGAAGTTTTTTACTTTTCTGGGCCGCGAAGGTTGACATTGAGCCAGGGGGTTGATAGGCTGATGTCGAGATTGCACGGTCAACCGATGGGGTAAGGCCTGCTGGCAGGGCCTACAAGGTCACGGGCAAGCAAGGCCTGCAGGGCCACACGCAGGCAGGCAGGGCCTGCAGGGCCACAAGCAGGCAGGCAGGGCCTGCAGGGCCGCAGGCAGGCAGGGCCTGCGAGGCCATAGGCAGGCGGGGCCTGCAAAGCCCCGGCATGGGGGATAGCGACTGGGCCAGCTCTTCTTATCGAAGAGTTGCTCCTATCCCTGTCGTGATAGGAGTTAGCTAAGTGGGTCACATCAGATGACTCGTGCTCAGCGGGTTTCGGGATCGAATCCGACATACTGCGCCACTGGACTAGCTCCTTTTGGAGCTAGCTACCTTTCTATCAGCGCAGTCGATTTCGGTCGTCGATCGCGAAGATCGCATGGCCGAGATCGGCCGCGCGAAAATTAGCATGGCCCTGCGCAAAGATGACACGGATAAATTGGAAAAAAAATAAAAAAAATCAGTATGTGTCGTAGAAAGAATCCGATTGAAATTAAGCAGAATAAGGTCAAACGGACTTAGTCTTCTCCTAAGGAATGACCCTTTCTGTTCCGAATGACCTCATCTGTCTATACCTGTCCAATTGATTTTCATTCTCTATCTCCTTTTGATTTTTTTCGTCCAAGTTACCCCGATCATAGGAGAATTGAGAATATATGAGAGCTACTTGCAGTGGACACATCCTCTATCTTCAGGAAGCATCTGGGGCGGGGGTTCGTTGCTTTGGGAGCCGGTCTTGTTATCGACCCATAGTGGACCGTTCCACGGGGGAATATTTTGCCGATTCGGTGGAAACGGTCCGACTTCTGAGATTCGAGTCCTGTGCTCGGACGAGGAGGAGGAATACTCTAGACCACTTCTTAGAGGGAGAGGCATGCAACACTTCAAGCAATGCCCCTGATCAAGAATCATTCGCAACGCAGCCTGTCATCCAATAAGATTTAGAAAGTATGGAGACAAATGCGAGCGTGTATAATCTTAGGTTGGCGGTAGGTTGGAATGAATGACATTGGCAACGCGTCTCATCAAGTCAAAACTAAGGCAGCCAACTACCTTGTCAGCTGCATTAATGTTATTGTCGGTAGCCAACTCCTCGTTGGCGGATGTATGATTGTTTTGTGATATTCGACCTGGGGCGGTCGGATTGTTTTTTATCTTATGTTGTTGAATGTATCAAATGATAATATGAATTCTCTCAGTTATTACTTTGGATCTGATGTACATTGTTATCAGTTGTGGTCAACTCTTTTTGTTGTAATTATGTATAGTTGTTATAAATTTTGTTTGACTGTGTGTCTAAGGGACTAGAATCGAGTTGGGTTTCACACTTGGTTGAGACCGTCATAGTCAACCGACGTCTGCTTTGTACTTAGGAGATCAGCGCCCTAGGAACGGACGACGCTCGGGTCCGCTTGACGTTAACCAAGCGTATCTATACTACAGCGAATGAGCAAACGCCCTCGGCTGACCTACCTCTACAATTGCATCTAAAATATTTCGCACGTGGGTCAGTAACTCGGTAGGGATATGCCCCTAAGGGTGGTGACAGCCCCTTAGGGAAGGAAAGCTTATGCCCCGCGGGAACCTATCCTGTCGTAGGGGACCGCGAGATGTACAGCTGGTGCACCCTGCCAGAGTGGCGAAGGGACGATGCAACCTCTACCGTCTCGACGGCTCGCGGGATTAGTTATGAGTCGTCCCTGAGTTGTCTCTGTTTTTTTATGTTTTATCTTCTGCGTGACATGGCCAGGAGGGTTCTCGCCTTTGCGAAAAAGGCAGGAGCCGATGCGCTCGACAACGTTGTACGAGTGCAATGTATTTTACACTGTAAGATGTAATCCTCTAAGCTACATTGTGGATATTTTGAGTTTTCAAGTCTCTAATGAGTCAAGGGAACGACTTAGCAGTTGTGCCTGGGAACGCTCACCTGATGCCGTGTGGCTCCCAAGATTCTCGATGTCGACATTTTGCGTCGTGCGCTGAAAGAAACACGCACCCTGCGAGTGTTTTTCCTCTAAGTATTACTTCATATGTCATGATATTTATTCATCTATATGAGTTCATGTTAATTCATTATAATCCTTAATTGTCTGCTTCATCATCTTCTAGTCATTTATTCACTTATTATTCCTCGTATTCCTATACTTTTCGCAAGCGTGTTGGTAGGGCAGCAACAGGAGTTGCATGTACGCGAGGGGAAGAGGACAAGAACGAGGTAGGGGGAGGTGGTCAGGCGACAGGCATTACTGAATGGATTACCAGATGGTTACACCGCCTGCGACCATCCCAGCTAACATGCAACCACCGAACCCACCCCCTGTTGCCACTGCTGCACAAGGACCGCCAGGATATCCACCGTACCCTCCATATGGGTGGGTGGCGCCACCACTACCGCCATCATGGAACTACACGAATCAGGGCTACTAGCAACAACAACAAAAGACTCCGGCGGCAAATTCTTTTCCAGCACCGGGTAACCGCGAGTGGTTCACACAGGAACATCTGGAGTTGATAGAGCGCTGGAAGCAGAAGGAGACTAAAGAGTCCAAGAAGAGTATGTCGGAATCGAGTGAAGGCAGCGAGCGGGAATACAAACAAGGTGGAAGGAAAGGCAAAGGGAAGTCGGGAGGCAGCACCGAAGATGGCGAACAGAATCTAAAAAACTGGCTTGCCAACAACTTCGGGTCGTCACTCAAGCGGATTTTGGATAAGCTAGACAGTGTGGAAAAATTGAAGGAGGTTGAAACAGAAAGGGATAGATTGGCGAAACTCGTTCTGGAACTAGAGGCGGCCAAGAAGGGCGAATCCAGCAACAACGAGAAGAGGAAACGAATATTGGCCGTGAACTCGCCTACTGCCGAAAGACCAAAATCAAGATCAAGATCAAGGAGTGGTGAGGTGAAGATTCACCAACCACGAATTGACGTGGAGGAGGCGAAGAAAGTGGCGATGAATGAAACGGGGAGCGTGCAAACGAAGGTTGAGCCGATAATTGCGCAGGTGAATGAAATTCAGCTTGACGATATAATGAAGATGCTATCGCTGATAGTGGGGAAGGTGCAAGGCAACAACGAAGATACTGGCCCCCAACAAGGAGCAGGGAAAGTTAATCTGGTCATCAATGAGACAGACGTGGATGAGGAAGAGAGCGAAGAGTCGGGTTCTGAGAAGGACAAGCTGCAGCTCAACCGAGGCAACTGTAGCAAGAAGGATAAGACGGAGGTGGGAATCGTTGAGTATATGAGGCAGCGTTTAGACCATTATATGGACATGAATGGAAAAAATATTGAGAACCTGTGTCTGAAGAGAGGACTGAAATGAGAGAGGAAGGATAAAGGGGCTTGGGAGCTTGCCAAGCAGGACACAGACGAATTTACTTAACTCATGAATGGGGAAGGAGCTGCAAAGTCGGGCCCAGAAGAAGAGGAGGATGAACAATCTGGCACCGAAGGGGACGATGAGAGTGATGATATGGCGGGGAACTGAAACTCTCCAAGCGGAGCCTGATTTGCCTTCTCCGACGAATTAGCAGTTGTGCTGCAGTATCCGATGGGGTGCTTAGGAGAGATTTCGAACGAGTTTTCAGACTTGGTACAATGTTGGCATGTGTGAATGGGTATATAGGTAGGGAAAGGGCCCATAGACCTGGACTGTGTAGAATCCTGCGTTTACCTGCTCATTTCACCTTTCTACAGTCAGACTTACATAGGCCAGACAAGTAGGGCCTTGTCCGTCAGATGGTCGGAACACGTTTGCTCGGCCACGCAACCGGAATGTAGAGCGCGCAGGTGGATTGGGAAAAAAAGCGCATACGCCTACACTGCTATTCCACTATGCATATGCCCTCGAAATGATTTAAATAATGTTGAAATGAAAATTATTCAGCATGAGAACCCGGGCCTAAATACCAGGAAGCCGAATGAGAAAAAATGACCTCGTCGATCTAGAGCAAAGAACCAGCATACACAAAATAAACAAATTTGGCAACCTTTGATTTTCGCATCTGATTTAACAGGAAACACTGCCAATTTAATGAACATATTAAATCTTGCGAAAAAAAGGAAAGAACGACCAGTACTAATATGTTATGCAGGTGGGACAACCTGACTCTTCTTGTGACACCTAGTCAAACTTATGTATGGGGAATCGAAACTGAAAAGTAATGATTCTTGTTTTTTGCTAAAAGACATGAAAAGACGATTTCGAACATGGGGGGAAATGAGAACTCATTTGCCTGGTCAGGACAAGATCTGAAGCGGATCGTAGAAAGGCTGAACTGATCTCCTTACTGCGAGCCTCATGGAAACGCAGAACTATACTGCTTGAAAGAACTGTCGAAGAATTGTTAAAGATGCTCAAAATACTAAAAGTTGTTAACACCAGAAGGGGAAGGCAAATAATTTGTTGCTTGATTGTTGGAGAATTGAAAAGGAAACTGGGTTTTAATCCCAGACAAAGGATGGTTGTTAAGATCCTTTTTTTTCATTCTATTGATAAAAAATGTGTGCGGTCCGAGGTGTGTGATTGGATTAAGGAGAAGGTTGCTAACGGGGGGCTTTCTAACCTGATGCAGAAATAACTACGCACGGTCTGGACAAGATCCAAAACTGTTGCGGGCATTTGGCATACCCACAGAGTTTTTGCTGCGGACAACATTCCGGTATGCAAATGTGATCTATTTCAACTGCCCAAAGAAAACAGACATGATCAGGTCAGACTGGATGAAATCTCTGACATCCACCCTTTCCTACACAACTCAAGAAACATACCACACCCGGGAAGAGTTGCATGTATTAACGAAATAAATAAGAGTTGCAGAGAAGGACTTGCCTTGCTAAAGAAGGCATGTGTGAAAGAGGATTTTCGTATTTCCCCATTAAGACTGACTGGGGCGTGTACTGCCCCTGTAGAGGCAACCCTAAGCGAGTACGTATATGGGGTCAAATAAGCTCTTGATGGTTTGGTGTTGTCTCCACTAGACAGAAACCCAGGGACTACCCTGGTTGAATGTCCAACATTATATTTAGAAGGCATGAGAAAAACCTTCAATGACAATAATGATTTTGAAAAAGTACGGAAAGGAGAAGAAATTTTGCGGAAAATGAGGAATGATTTTATAAAAAAAGTTAAAAAACAAACTCGAAAAAGTTGGGAGATAGGACGGGAAAGGGCACTTACAAAATGCCTTTATCTTGAGTAAGGACAAAGACATTGATAAAAAATGGCATATTTGTCCATCGTTCTTGAATCCTGTAAGGCTGGCATGTAACAACCTGGTAAAAGTTCTTAATCTTTTGATTTGATCAAAAAATGATAAACATTTCAATTTGATGGTTGAGGGGTATATGAAACAAGCACTGCAGAACTTGAACTGGAAGGTGGGAAGAGATGGCATGAGGATCCTCATTCGAACATATCACATAAAATAGATGTTTTCTAAAATACCCTACGATGAAGTAAGAAAAGTTGTGGATTGGATCTTTTATGAGATGAGAGAAAGGGAAAATGGATGGAAGTCTATTCGAATAAATACTCTAATAAGGATGGTTGACTTCCTACTAAGGAATATATTTTTTAAATCCACAGGTGAAATTTTAAAACAAAACAGGGGCATAGCAATGGGGGGGCAAGCAAGCCCACCATTAACATGTTTGGTCTGCATGCCCGCAGAAAACCGATTTTTGAAAAATCTGGAAAATGACACCAAGATGATTTTCGGAAAAAGGTACGTGGATGACCTCTTTTTGGTGGGTTTTTTCAGAGAAGGGCATAAGAAACATACTGAAAAAATCATGGATAGATAAACTCGTGTTATCATAAGAATTTTGTTCTGGAAAGAACCGACTTTGGTGTGAACGTTGCTGAATTTTTGGAAACTAAGATTTTTGTTTTGGAGAATCTTGCAGAAATCATTTCAATGCACAAGTTTAAGAACGCCGAAAGCCCCGGAATCCAAGATACCATATCACACGACACTTTGCTTCTTTTGCACCGAAAGAACAGAAAATTGCAACTATTATGGGCACGCTATACAAAATTAATGCGAACACTAGTTCGGTTGCTCTACTCCCTCTATGTATTGTGATGTTACACCGGGAACTAGGGGGTATGGATTTTTCGGATGCATATTTTTCGAAGCAATGGAAAGAGTGACAAAAAAATTGGGAGGAGTCTGACCCGAAATAACGACAAGAATCAAAGACTTTTACAAGGACTGGGAAACGAAACAAAGGCCATGACGGCGAACGACGCAGAAACGTGACGAGAAACCTCCTGTGAAATCAAGGGAGGATCTCGCCAGGCTCCAAGGCTTGCAAGCTTGCTGCAGACCACGTCTCCAGGTCCTAAGACCATGTTCATGCTAAGAAAGCATTTTTTGTTCCTGCCAATTCTTGGGGATACTCGACGTTACTTCAGCGAGCGGGAGAAATCTTGGGTTTGTCACGGCAGACCTAAGGTTTTGGAAGATGGATGCAAATCACGTGACCGGGTCCTACGACCAGGTACAGGGACGAAAAAAAATTGTTTTCGATATAACTATTTTTCTACTGCGGGGGACCTAGACAGAGGGCATAAAAACATTCGCCGCACCTGGATGGGTTCCCCAAGGATCTAGGTTAAAAAAAAATAAGGATACCGGACGGTATTTGGTCCGATTTAATGGTAAAGGAACGAGATATGAACCTGACTTGAATCTCGGGAGATATTCAGGGTAATAGGAAGGGTCTGTTGTAAGGCATGCATTAAGTACCCGACCTGAAAGGAGGAGTATTGGTCGGCGCGTTGTGTGCTCACACAAGGATGGGATATAACTAGGAGGGAGCGGACGCTCCTACTCATACTGAGCAGTGTAGAGGTAGAGGGTCTGGTGTGCGAGCAGTCACGCTGCACGAGTACAATGTGGTTTACACTGTGAGATGTAATCCTCTAAGTTACATTGTGGATATTTTGAGTTTTTAAGTCAAGGAAGGTGAGGTAAGACAAGAAGGGACAAGCAAGTCCCCACCTCCAGGGCCACAAGAGGAGATAAACTATTGGGAGGATGAGGATCCAATCAGGGACCTATTGGCACTCTGTTTTGATGATGGGATCTATCCTACGGCTATTAATATTGATCCGGGGAAATGACGATCGAAGGGAGGGAAGTGCACTTTAAATTAAATACTTCATTGGACGATATAAATGAGAAGTGGTTAAAAGAACGAACAGTAACAGTGGTTTACAAGGATGCCGCCCGTTTTCTGCCGAAGAACATAAAGGACGACCTAGTCAGGTCCTTATGGATGGATTTTCGAAAATGAGCAATTCTCCGAAAATACAAGGAGAGGGAGGGTTAAAGTAGAGGGACCGAGGTTGGTGTCCTATCATGCGGCGAAATCTCCGGAGGTGGCACAGTATATGACTAATGAAGGAAGTGTGACGATACCCCTGGGGACTAATGAATACAAGGTTCTTTGCAAACCTTGGATGACGTGAGTTAAATTCTGGGAGATGAGGGGCCAGGAGGACGAGAACACCTTCTGGGTTATGGTGGTGCAAGTCCCTCTAGAAGACATGGCGTTTATTCACGCACAAATTGAGAAGGCGATTGGACCAACTAGTATAAGAGCTCACCCAGCTGATGCTGACCCTCAACAACCGGTGTTGGTCAACGCAAAATTTGATCTAGTAGATCCGGTTGCGCGACCGAACATGAAGAATAAAATCTGGATCGAGACCGCGTCTGGTGATAAAATGGAGATCGGACTAGCCACGTTCGGCACAGTGAAATGTATCAAATGTAGTCAGTTCTTTCACACGGAAGAGTGCCGACGAGGTCGGAGACATCAAAATCAAGCTTCGTCAAACGAGAACCAGGGAGGAAGAACTGCGAGTCGTCAACAACCATCGAAATAATCCAGACAAGAACAATCACGACAGGGGTATCAAGGGTCATTGGGCCCAAGACCTTCAGCACAAGGAATGCAGCCAGCAGCAAGCCATGCATCATCGATAAGGAATAATCCGACATTCTCCCCTCTAGGAGCGATGGGCCAAAATACCATCCACCTAGGCTTCGGCCCAGGGGTGGGACTGTTGGGGATGCCCCCACAGGGTGTGGGAGGCCAGCTTGGTATGGGACAAGGCATGCTGCCTCCCCAGGACTTTGGAGCCCCGAAAAACTACTACTGCTGGGAAGCTATCATGATGGCGATTGCAAATAGGAGCTTCATGGATCTTCAGGGGATCCTGCTCCAACATGGACAAGTA